TTATAGAACAATTGTGTCCCGACACATACCTGAATAAACTGGATTTTTGGATGTCAAATAATCATATCAAATGAGTTTTTCTCAGTTACACATAGGTCGAAAAAACGTCGTTTTCGAGGTTGCGCCGCTTGGACATACCATTGCTTACGAAAACATTACTAATTAATTAAAAAATAAAATTATTGATTTGTGGTTTATTCTATGGATAGAAAAGATGATGCTTACTAGATATTTCAAAATTCATTGATGTACCTTGAGCGGTTTTAATTTTATGGCGCTAGTCCACGAACTTTTTGATAACCCCTCGTATTCATTAAAAACATTTTGCAAATGCATACACTTGTATTCCTCTGTACAGATTAGAAATGAGAATTCTTGTCCTTTTTGTCTGTTTTTCAATTGACCAAGTGAATTATTGATTCATTAAATATCTTTTTATAATGATACAAAATAGACAGCTTTTCACCTGCTATTGTTGTTTTTGTCGTTGTGCTTGTTGTTGCTGCTGTAGTACTTGTTGTCTTTATTGTTGTGTCTAAATGTAAAATTAAGAAATACACAACAATGTTAAAAAGTTCTCTAAGAAATGAACTTAGTTGGTAAAGTGATCAAATCCTTGAAGCCCGAATGGCTTCTCAGTAGATTTGATCATGTACCTACTAACTCCATTTCCCATTGAACTTTTTACATGTTGTTTATTGCCAATATTTACATTTGAACGAAATATTCCGATTAAAGTTGTATATATTAAACGAACGGGCTCCCGTATTGCTATGTTGTGACTCGCAATGATCTAGAGGTATTTGGCACAGGCACTTGTTTCAGAAATAAACTTTTAACAGGTCGAGTCCACTAGATTTTCTGACGTCAGAATAAATTTGCATGTAAATTAGCTATCTGTTTACTTTACCCACTGATGAATGAGTCCCTATGCATTGTGGGCTGCTACAAGTACTCAGCTATGTTGAAAATAAAGGCCAACTTGAATTGTCCCTGGAAACTTATTTTCAATTCTTTTTTGAGATTTATGGAAGAAATATATAAAATGATGTATAATGTTTCATTTCTATGCCCACATTTACAAAATTTGCTTTATGAAGCCTTATATGTCAACTTATACTACATCGACCTAAACTATTGTTCAAAGAAACGTACTTGAAGGTGCTATCGTGTCGATAAAGCATTGCGTTTTTTTCACGTGATATACGTGTACATAGTTTTAAACAGCAGTGCAAGGTGCGCTTTTATTATTTAACCCCTAAATATTATCAAAAAGATTTTAATGTACATGCAAACATCAAAGCGTTTGCACATTATTCGAACTTTTGAAGCAACAAAACAGCTCCAATATTAAATGTGAGCATGGAGCAGTGTCTTGGGAATGTAATCTGTCAATTTCGGACTTAAAAAGTGACAAAGAAGCTCTACGGTTTTTCCGGTGACGAAGTGAGCATTATGCAGAAACCGATGAAAACCATGTGTCGCCATTGAATCGTAAACACGTTGTAGAGTGTGATGCTTTCGGACTCATTCACTTGATTGGCGAACGGGTGTGACGAAGATATCGTCACGTGTTGAAAATTGCCTTCCATATAAGGTAGTGGTCTCGACCTGTTTAACCCATAGTATAATAATAACACAAGGTATCTAACTCCGAATTGCATCCAGTACCCCTTCCTCAGAAACGCACCCATTTACACTTTCAGATAAAAAGCACTGGCAAACTTTTTATTACCATTGTCTATGTGCTAATCTCGGGCAAAATGCAAAATTAGATAAATCAGTGAGTTAAAAAATTCCATTCCAGATTTGAACTATAACATTGAATAAATAAAATTTGATTACGTCTCATTTTTCATAAAAACACTACGACATTTTTTCGATGTAATTTTAGATTGAAATTTTAAGCCAATCAAAATCTTCGTGCGGGATTAACACATACCGTTTCGTGGTTGAGTTCCACTTTCCACTCAGCGCGCAGAGTTTTGACGCTGTCTTCGGAGATAAATGAAAACAAAGACATGCATGCCGTATATGGTTGTGTAGATAAATTATCGTAAAAGGTAATAAAAAGTTTGCCAGTGCATTTCGTCTGAAAGTGTAAATGAGTGTGTTTAATTTATTATTAATATTTTTATAAATAGAAATTTTTAAACAGACTTTGGAAGCTGCGACTTGAGATATTTATTTCAGGCGTTCTCCAAGCTCTCACAAATATATTTACACTGTACCTCGTAAAATATTGTGTCTATGCGTTTAAAAATTATAACCGAAAGGTAAGAGGGTTAAAGTCTAAGTTTGAAGATTTTTCGAAAAAAAGTATTTTTAAGAAATGTTTTATTCTCTAAATTTTAAGCTTAGATCTCGACTCTTAAGTAGGAAAAGAATGACAAATTCTTTATAATTTTACGGTAACTTTCAAAGAGCATTCTGTGGATACCATCTTGTAAACATTTGCTTGCATAATGTTAAAATTGTATTAATTTGTTTTGAATAAAAAACTTATTCAAAGTATATACCATTTTAATTTTCAAAATGTCATTTACTTTGTACATACCGATAGAATTGATCAAATACCTCGTGCTAGTCCACAAATACATCTATGAGAATTATGTATATAATCAAAGTGACATTGAGCAATCAGTCCTTGAGGGCAAAGACAATGACTATGTTCTGTGCAAACTGAAATTAGAAAAAACTAATTTTGTATAAGCATAAAGCAAACAAGACATTCATGGGCCTAACATGTCACCTAAGTATCATGTAAAAAAAATTCCAACAATTGCATTTGGCTTGTATATTTAACCAGGGGTCATGAAATTTACAATTTTGAAAGAGACACCATTGTTAATTTTAATCATGCAAGTAGCATGCTTCGTTTGATTACAATATACTCAGAAGTGGAGAAGGAGAAAGAAAAAAATGCACATCGACTAATCAGTATTAACCAGCAAGTATCCCCACCTCACAGGAGCCCCTGGCCCTGGCCAATACATTTCACAATTTTGGAAATGACACTCATCATCATCATAACTGCTTCGTTAATAACAAGGAGTAGATTTTTTTTTTTAAAAATAATTCATTTTCAGTATATAATCATAAGATCCATTCTCCCCTGGTAACCTTGACCCAGTGGTCTTGAGATTCACAATTCTACAAGAATGATCATTGTTCATCATAACTATGTACATGTTTAGTATGTTTAAAATACCAATGAACAGAGAAGATTTTCAAAGAATTCATGCATTTTCAATACTCGATCATATGATTAGAGTCCCATCTTTAGGGTCTTCCACACCCTAAGGCTTTTGAGGTATAAAAAAGTATTAACTTCCGGTTTTGAATAGTTTATGTACTGACGATTTGCCTGGCACCGCTGGAAAGAGAGTCTTAGAAACGCTTTAGAGGGAAAGGTTTTGTCAGGGAAAAGTGCATTGAACTGAGAGCAACACCCTTATCATAAACTATGAACACATATGGCATGATTACGGAGAAAGAAAAATGACCAATTTTTTAAATAAAAGAACAACAGACTTTTAAGGCACTGGTATAATGAGAAAAGTTTAAAGTTATTTATTTAACCCAATGCCATATCGCTACGTCAACAAAATCTTTGTTGAATGTTGATATTTTTGCACATTTAAAATTTGTGAGTTTCAGTAATACATATCTCATTCTGTGTTTATAAATACTTGAAAAAAATGTGCAATTCTAGTTTTGCTCATTTAGATCTTTCCAGCGCAGTTGCCATAGAGATACTACAGTATAATGTCTTTTGTTGGATAAAAATAATATCCAACTACAATCCATGGGAGATTTCTTTTATCTAATGCTTAATACTTCACAGCCAATGTTTAACACTGTTTTTATATAGGACTCAACTTTATTTTACTTCAGCACGCTAACGCAAAAACCAATGTGAGGTCACAACTGCACTTAATTGCTTGTTGGATATAAAAATAATTTATAGAACTGAACAACTGTTTGAATCCTTCCAGACGATTGGGAAAAGACGGGAATTCTTTTTTACCAAAATGCATTTTAACTACACCTACAGATCACCTAACACGAGAACCTTTGACCAGATAAGATTTCAAAATTTTGAAAGCGAATTCCTTAATGTTTATTATAATTATGTAATCGGCTTATTACCCATACCAGGAGCAGCAACGTTATGCATTTTCACACACCGTTTGTTAAGAATACACCCCCTTCCATATCAGAAGGACTCCTGAATCCTTTTTGGTAGAGGCAAACTTGCCTGATATAATCATGCTCTTATTTGGATAAATAACCAGGGGCAGAGAAGACAATCAAGAAAAAAAATTACATGTTCACTTTATCATCATTTAAGCCCGCCAACGCTTTAACTGGTCTACGGGCCATGATTTTCACAATTTTGAAAAAAGGCTTTTTTAACTTGATTAGATTTAATCTTGATTTATAAATCATGTAAAAAGAGAAACAAACTTAATTTATTCTTTAGATATTCATTTTTATATTGTAAATGGTCTCTAAAAATGATGTCTAAATGTTTACCTGTACAATCACATGTTGTTGAGTATCTGTCGATTTTGCAGTAAGGGTGTTTATCAGAGGGACATATGTGTCCACTGCAGTCAGCATGATAATGACAGGCTGTTGTTGATAGCTGAGTCACGGTCGGTGGAGGGACGGATGTGGTTGTTGTAACTACTTGTACGAATAAAAAGAGAATTAATGAATAGTGTTAATATAAATATTTCTTTTAAAACTATCCAGGTTTTTTAAATGAAAAATTAATTAGATTTTTAATTGGTGTTGGTTCATGTGGATACTCGAAGTCAATGTTGGTAGAAAAAAATAGGAATATTACTGTGCTTAGTATAATCTGTCTTTATTGTTTATGTATTCAAATACATGATTTATGATAGATATTTTGCAATTGTATCTGATAGGTGTTGTCTTCAATCAATCTAAGATTTTTCGGGTAGTTTTCAGTTGTGAAATTTTACACCAGAAAATGGGAAACATTTAATTATTAAAGCTTGTTACAACCTTATATTTTTCCCATTCAAAAAATTATAAGTTATAGATACTGATATTTCAGTGAGAGTCCATAAACAACAAATTCGGGACCCTAGCGTAAGAGTGAGCACTTTGCTATCTGTGGGAAAGGCAATTTTAAATTATTTCCATTTTATAAAATGCAAAATGACTGTGAAATATCCAGAGTAGCAAAGGAGGACTACTTTATTAAACTATTTAACCCAAAACTTAACAGAAAATAATTACTTCAGTTTTAACTTTAGTTATTTTCTACTAGTTGATTGTAACGGTGCGAATTATAATGCTACTTTTTTAACGTTATCATGACGTCACAATGGACAATAATTGACGTCGTGCTAATGAACGTTACTAAGCAATTTTATGTTCAACTTTTAACTGTCTGATGAAGAGCTATTAGACAGAAAGCGCTAACAGTAAAAATGATTTTCGAGTCTTGTGATTCTTGACTTTTTTCATTGGATATATTTTACTGTACTAAACACTGGATTTTTCTTAAATTATATATATATATATATATATATATATATATATATATATATATATATATATATATATATATATACCCTCGTGTGCCCATATTTCGACGGTCTTTCAATGTGTTGCAATATTTTATTTTACGTAAACAATAATCCGCTAAAATAAATTGAGCGGTAAAAACATCATTCAAATTGTATTCTTTCCTGTGTAAAGATTTAACCAATTTGTTTGATCTACTTCTATTGGTGAAGAATTCAAAAGTGACATATAAACAATGGGCGCCGCCATTACCGGGTCCTAATTTCGACGGTTACGTCATCGATCGATATGCAAGCAATCAGGAAGGCCATGCAAAACAAATTTTTAGTGGAAATGAAATTACATTTTATTTTTCGTTAAATAAGGTAAAATAATAGTAACAATTGTAAATATAATGTTTGATTTCATAATCATTTTTACTCCTCAATGCAGTGAGGGCAGAGGAATTTGTCATGTAAGCGGACAACCCGTGTACTGCAACAGTACCGCAGGTGTGTCCAGTGCTTACATGGCATCCCATTCCTCATGCCATCACATTGAGCCCATTTGGTGAATATTAAAATATCACTTTTTCGGATCTCTTCTGGTGTAAACTTTTTGCACACACAACAAAGGTCCTTCTCCAGTACAACCTCCTCCTCATCCTCCTCCTCAGTGTCACTGTCTTCCACAACTGGCAATCTAGTTTTCTTCTGCTTTCTGGAACCTGATCCACTTGCGGCTGCCCCTTGATCTTCATCTGATGCCTTTCTCTTACCTTTTCCCTTACCATTTTGTTCCTCTTCATGTTGCTTCATCTGATCTATTATGATATCTGTTATGCAGTGTCCAGAGATTATCTTACTCATGGTTTTCCTCTCTTTCTTTTCAGAGACCCCCTCTCTCTTTGCATCCCTACATGCTCTTACTTTAGCTTCAAAGAATGTTCTGTCTTCATTCTTTTGTTCCTTTTCTCTACTTTTTTCTATGGCTGCCTCATCTTTTGAGCTGTCAGATATCTCGTTTTCCATGATAAATATCTCTGCTGGTTTAAGACTGTCTGGTGGAATTACAGCTCGCGAACATGGGTAGATGCCAGTTTTTCTAAATGCAGCTATCAAGTTTTCTGCGGACATGGCCTTGCTGTACACCTTGCAAACTAAATGACAAATATTATATCTTGTTACTACGGAGTGTGATTCTCTAGTAAACTTATGACATTCTGAATTGTACATCTTCTGCATAGGTCCATAACAGCCTACATCCAGGGGTTGTAGAATGTGACTGGTATGGGCAGGAAGAATAAACAATATAATATTCCTGTCTCTTGCCCACTGCACAAGTCCTACAGAAGTGTGAGATTTATGCCCGTCCATCAACAAAAGGACCTTCTGACCATCCTTGATAGGGACATGCTTCAAAAAATGATCTTCTAGGAACTCACAGAAAAGCTCTGAATTGGACCATCCTGTCTCTGAGACTCTTCCTACTGCGCCTGGTGTTGCACCTTCCATTAACTCAGGCATCATTCTCTTTCCCGCAAATATGAAAAAAGGAGGAATTGCTGTGCCACTAGCACTTCCACAACCAATCACTGTGGTGGTACTAGATTTACCTGCAGTGACAGCTTGAGGTGGAAACTGGTTACCACAAACAACAAAAGGAGGAGTGTGGTTCTGGGTAAATCCTTTTTCATCCACATTGTAAATTAGGTAGGGGTTCTTGTCAAAACCATTCTCTCTGATGACCTGTTCCAGTTCTTTGAAATATCTATCAATAACAGGAACTGATGCACACTTTGCCCTGACAATTTCCAGACTCCGAGGCTTAAGGACTTTAAGTTCAGGCCACCTGCTCACGAATCCCCGAAACCACTTAAGAGAGAATGGGTGCTGCCTATCTCTAATACCATTTTGGACTGCATAGTCTGAAGCTAGGTCTACAACCTCTTGGCGAGTATATCCATAGCCATATTCTGCCATGATCTTTAAATGTTCAACAATATTAGATTCCTGGATTGTATCTAATAAAGGGCTCCTTCCACTCTTAACTGTTTCAGGATCAACATTGCCTAACACACGATCTCTGAGGGTTGTGATGGGCACATTGTACTGCCTTGCTGCTCCCATAACGGATTTTTTGTCAGTTTTTATCGACATATATGCATTTGTAAGGGAAGTTGGTGAATACAATCTGTATTTAGATGACTTTTTTATAGGATTAGCCTACAAATAAAGTAAAACAATACACTTAGCCATTGAGTTTTTCATTCAAAATTCGAATCATTGTTTTTTTCTTTTAATAAAAAAAATAGGTCTGATAAACTCAAAATAAAATTGGTTTGGCCTTGTTTTCCTTAAATGCAGTGGTATAAATTTCATTACTGAATTGTCAGTCTATGCAGACGACATTTTGTCAAGTTATGTGCAGCAAGCTTATACCAGTAACCAGATTTCATATTTGCATCAAAAAAGTGTTATTACGTAAGGCAGACATTTTTTCGCCTTCAACTATGTGAAATAAATGCTTACCTGTTTGAAATGCATTTTTCAAAGATGATGCAGGTAAAACGATCGTAAGTCTTTACCGGTACTATGTTTACACACACCAGCCCGATCTCGCGAGAACGAACGAGATATAAATAAAAATACGAAAACCATCGAAATTCGGACCCTGTCGATTTTAGGACCTTCGACCATATATATATATATATATATATATATATATATATATATATATATATATATATATATATATATATATATATATATATATATATATTACAGAAAGGATGTTGGTGGTTGGGTTAAAAAATTTCCTAACCACCAACACCCTTTATGTAATACAAATGTATATATATAAATAAATGATTCTTTAGCTTCAATTTCGGTTTACAGTATTAAAAAGGCGCCCATGGGCCTTATAGATCACCTGAGCATTATGCAACAACTTTCCAGTTATTGAATTTGATTCATGTTTTAAGCCAGATGCTATGGAATTCACAATTTTGAAAGAGGCACAATTGTTCATCATAACAATACACTTAGCAGTTGCTTAGCTTGGTTACTTAATACCCATAGGCAGGGTAGGGGAACAAAAAATGCATTTCAACTAATCAGTAATATTCAGCAATAATCAGTAGTGCCCTTACCACACATGAACCCCTGACCCTTAGGCCTAAATCCACAAACTACACAATTTTTGAAAAGGCATCCTTCCTTTTTAAAAATATTTTATTAATATCAAGGAGCAGATTTCAAACAATTCATTCTTTTTCAGCATACAAGTACAGCCCCCACCCTCTATGGTACCCCTGACCCTAAAGCCTTGAAAATCACAATTCTGCAAGATTAGGCCCCTTGCTCATCATGACTATATAGGTAGTTCATCTGCTTCATACCCAGAGACAGAGAAGAAAATTTTCAAAGATTTAATGCATTTTCACTATATAATCTATAGAGCCCCGCCCTAACACCTGACCCTGGGGTCATAAAAATCACAACTGTGGTAGAGGCACTCTTGCTCATCATAACTATGCACTTAGTTAGTTTATTTAATACCAAAGAGCAGAGAAGAAGATTTTCAAAGAATTCATGTATTTTCACTATATAATCAACAGAGCTCCTCCCTAACACCAGAACCCCCGACCCTGGGGCCATAAAATTCATAATTTTGGTAGAGGCACTATTGCTCATCATAACTATGTACTTAGTTAGTTTATTTAATACCCAGGAGCAGAGAAGAAGATTTTCAAAGAATTCATGTATTTTCACTATAAAATCAATAGAGCCCCGCCCTCAACACCTGAACCCCTGACCCTGGGGCCATAAAATTCATAATTTTTGTAGAGGCACTCTTGTTCATTATAACTATGTACTTAGTTGGTTTATTTAATACCCAGGAGCAAAGAAGAAGACTTTCAAAGAAATAATGCATTTTCACTATTTACTTATTTAGCCCCGCCCTAGCACTAGAACCCCTGGCCCTAGGGCCATGAATTTCACAATTTTGGTAGAGGACTCAATGCTGATTACAATCATGCAAACAGTTTGACTGCTTGATGTCCAGGAGTAAAGAAGAAGATTTTTAAAGATTGCATTAATTTTAGTGGTTTTGGCCCCACCCTCAGGCCCGGGGGGGGGGGGGGG